AGGACAGCATCAGCATACCCCGTCGTGGGCTAAACGGGGGAAAAGTTGTTGGGCCCAATCAGATGATTGACATCAACTCAGACAATCCAACAAACAGCGATCATTGTCCATCAATGGTCGATGAGGATTGTCAATCATTTTTTTATCGGTCGAAATTGTCAATCAATTGACAGGCTCATAAAGTGATTAGACAATTTTTCCATGTGAAAGGCTAAAGCTCGTGGCGCCGTGGAAAGAAATGGACATTGGGCCAAGTTCAAAGCAATGCACAAATTTTCAATGATTTAGTTTCGAAATGCTCTTTGACGATTGAAACTGAGTTATGATTGCGCCTAAAATAAAGGAGTGGATGGAAATTTTTCCATGAATGATAAAGAAGAGGAGCATAGACGACTAATTTTTCTATCTAAAGTTTGATCAAAGTTGAATGCGAATTGGGTTGTACTGGTCAAGAGATTTCCAATGACACCCAATTTGCCCAAATCAAGAAACCTGATCTCAAGATGTCGTAGCTTTCAGCGACGATTGTCGGATCATGGGGTGTCAGAAATATTGATATTTTGCCCTATCTCAAGATAGTATTTGGGATGCAAGGATTAATTCAGAAATTTTATTTATAGAGTGATACGAGACACTTTTATAACATATTTGAGTACGAACTATTCATGTAACTAACCCACTTGCGCATGGCCGAGTTGGTGAGCGCTTTCCTTCTCTCAGAGAGGTTCTGGGTTCGAATCCCCGTTCGGTTCCATAATTTAAGTGGGGGGACCTGGCGGTGGGTTGCTGGGCTAGTCTCCCCCGAGGTATAGGCGCCCCGATTACCTGTGCGAGCTCGTCCTCGGGAAATGGTGGCGGATCCTCGGTTACCAAAAAATAAAAACTATTCATGTAACTATCTTATAATTATTCGAAATAACTATGAGATTTGATCACGTAAATTAGTTTTTTTTACGTTCCCATGAAAAACAGAAATGGGAAGTGATGATGAGAAGACAAAGCAACTAAAAACATTCTCCTCAGCAAGCCGATCTTGATGGACGAACGGACAAAAGAAAACCACGGTTGGGCCAATTAATGTTGAGAAAATTTAGAAGCTAGGAGATTGGAGTAATTATTTTATGCACCTTAATCTCGATCATCAAATCGTGTGAGTCCTATATATAGTGGCCACGCTACTCAATGGTTGAGATGGAGCTTTTCCCCTTCACAATTATGTTTTTATTGCCAGTCCCATATGTGCGACATAAATGCCTCTGAAGAACTTTGAACAAAGGATAAGGTGTGAACAGACAGTTAGGTGCACATTTTGGGGTCAAAATTGGGGAATTCAATAAAGGAGAATAAGTTATACCAAAGTAATACAGCCAAACAGTGATCCGGTCGGGTTGATCGGGACCCGGGCTCTTATATTTCGAAAATTATCGACACACCCATTGAAATTATAGATGGGACACTGTTGTCATGGTTTTTCTTAATCTTGGCATCTAGGAACTTTATGAAAAACTTCCGAGCTGTTGTCCTAGCAGAGAGATACAATTCAAGGTTTTTAACGTCAAGACACTTTTGAGGAGAATCATAAAGAAATGGACGTGACTTTGATCCGTTATGACCGGGATTGATCCGTGAAGGATCGCAGAAGGGCCTGCCCTTGGTGAAAAGTGACCTTGATTTAGGGCTACAGGCAATGAACTTCCTGGAAAAGCAAAACAGACCCGACGTTTTTCCCTTTGCTTGTAATATACACCAGTCCACCCTCAAGTCTTTGTCTGACCCTTTTGTGAAGGCAAAGGCCTAAAAAACAATTGGGTGTTCCCACGCACACAGGCATAAAAGTTCACATTCTGAGTTTCAATTTGGAAGAAACAACGGAGAGAATTGATTGCAACCCACCCAGAAGACCGGCACAACGTGTTTTGCAATTCGGGCCAGTAAAATACCAGGAAACTCTGGTTGGTATCATCAAGAACGAGAATAAAGAGAGCACATTGAATTGTAGGACAGGGAAAAAGTACAGAATCTCTCAGCTTTGTTGGAATCCGTGTGAAGGAGGAACCACATTTTCTTCACAATTTCCATGACGAATCTGCTCAAATCTCTCTTTTAGCTCACTACATGTACTAAATTGATGGAGCTTTCGTCCAAGAATTGAGCCCACAGCCCTTTGAGCCAAAAATTCAAAACTTGGAGGGGCCCAAGAGAAAACCGCCCTAAAAGTTATGGCATTGAAAGATTGTCAGGAGCATTTCTCCTTCTCACTTGTGTATGGTTTTATAATATTTGATATATGCATGACTAAATTAATACATAGATAAAAACACAGCCACAACGAAAATTAAAACAATTATATCCTAAAACAATCACGACCTTTCGATGAAAATAGCAGGCAATCTAGCTAGTGGAATCGGAAAGAAACGTTGTAGGATGAGAATCGGAGTTTCTTTCCGGGAGATTGGAGTTATTATCGTATGCAGCTTAATCTCGATCATCAGATTACGCGGGTCCTATATGGTAGCCACGCTACTTAATGATTGAGATGGAGTTAGTTCACATGACTTGGGTCCATGTAAATTTTTTTCAGGAGACAGATGCATCATACGGACCACTAATTCCGTCCTATTTGTTGTTTCCTTGGCACAATTGATCATAAGATGATCAGTTCATCTTGGCTCCAAGATGGCACACAGAAGGACCCGTCAAATTCGGAGTGGATCACCATTGGATTTGGACTAGATCGGCTTAATTAGCTCATATTGACTTGTCTAGCTCATATCCTCCTATAGGGGGCTGCAAACGCCTGTCGCTTGATATACAAAGGTGGTGGGCTGCTTGGCTGCATTCCTTCTTTTTACATGTCACTACCCGCACACCATGCACCTCCCAATTGATACAGTATTTTTATCAAGCCCCTATCCCCACCTCTACCTTCTAAGTGTTTTATATCTAAGGGATCCCAAGGTCTGGATGAGGCCTCAAATGTAACCATTTAATGTCATGCTAAGGATGATAATTAACTCGTATTGACCTGTCTAGTTCAGACAATACAATGCAATTTATTCACGGTTGATCCAATTCAAGCCCAACCCAAATCTAGTCGAACAACTACATTTTGAGAGTACATTGTTTAAGTCACCTTGCCACCACCGCCACGTGGCTTCTATACCTATTGAATCCACCTTGATGTAGGCAAAAAAAAAATTAGCAAACAATAGATTTGAAATTTTTAAAAAGCTAAAAATTATAGATCTAAAGTAGCAAATTACTATTTTATGTGGCCAAAAAAATATCAAAACAAACTGTCAATGATCTTTACAGTTCGTCACTAAAGTTTGATTTCTTCCTATGCCCCACTTTCAATTACTGCAATTGATGCACCTGACCGGAATACGACCAATTTTTTGACGAATTGGTGATGGAGCGAACACATGGCCAGGTGGCATGTCATCAGCACGGTGGCACCATGTTAGCAATTCGTATGAAGAGTGGGTGTATTTCGGTCAAAGTGCGCGAATTGCAACAATGTTGACATTGCAATGGATTGAGTGAAAGTACCAAAGTTCAGCAACCTAATTGCAAATACCACCGAAATTCATTAACCATGGACAAAATTCACCCAGCCACTGCCTCGTCGTGTTCTTGTCCAAACCGATGTCCATACGTTGTCCCTACCACGAGTCGCTGCCTCCCTCCCCAATCGCTGGCGTGCTTCGAGTCCTTTGTCTATGGAGGAGGCCTTGGAGATTTTGGTCTCCTCTGCGGGAGGGAGGAGAAGGACTCGGAGATTTGGTCTCCTTCGGCAGCCGTTTCTTCCATTGACAATGGAGACAAGCAAAAATTTTCTCCTTTTTCCAATATGGATCTTGGTTCTTTCATCGTGGAGAAGATGAGATCCCGCCGCTACCTAATTTGAGGCACAAGTCACACTTGACAACCACCAGAGAGAAATATGGGGTTTTAGTGGGCATATTATTTTAATATGGAAAAGAATACGCAATATACATTTATTACGTGTCAATGTTTTAATAGAGTACTACTGCAAAGATGAGTAGATCTACCTACTCAAATCGGAGGCACAAGCTAGACTTGGCAACCACAAGGGAGAGAGACATGGGGTTCTAATGGCATATTTTAATATGGAAAGCAGTGTACATTTATTATATGTGATGTTTTAAGGTAAAATGACACTATAAGTGCCATAAATTGTGTACGAAGATCACTTTGGTGGCATAACTTTTTTTCAAATCACTTTGATGCCAACTTTTTTTAAAAACGATCACTTTAGTGCCAATGCTGACATGGCCGCCGGAAATCTGGCATGGCTCTTTTTTTATTAATTTCCGATGCTGATATGGCTCACCGGAAATCTGACGTGGCTCGCCGGAAATCTGATGTGGCTCTTTTTTTGGCCGGAATTTTGGCTGGAGTCACTAAAGTAATCTCTTTTCCTCCGATTTGGCACCAAAGTGATCCGAAAAAAAGTTATGGCACCAAAGTGATCTCCGTACATAACTTATGGCACTTATAGTGTCCTTTTGCCGATGTTTTAATGGAGTGCTTATGCAAATATGAGTAGATCTTAGACCTACCAAAATCCGAGGGACAAGCTAGACTCAGCAACCACTAGGGAGAGAGAGATGGGGTTTTAGTGAGCATATTTGGAAAAGAATACGCACTGTACCTTTATTACAAGTCGATGTTTTAATGGAGTGTTTATACAAATATGAGTAGATGCAGACTTGCTCAAATCCGAGGCACAAGCCAGACTCGGCAATCACAAGAGAGAGAGACACGGGGTTTTAGTGGGCATATTTTCTAATATGGAAAAGAATACGCAGTGTACACTTATTACGTGTTGATGTTTTAATGGAGTGCTTATGCAAATACGAATAGATCTAGACATGCTCTAATCCGAGGCATAAGCTAGACTCGGCAACCACTAGGGATAGAGACATCTATTGAAGAGAAAGATAGACTGGTATGGACAGCAGCCAAATCAGGAATTACTCAGTCAAAAGCGATTACAATCATCTCTAAAAAGAAGTAGACGGCCCAGCCAATCAACAGGCCTCATCCTCGTACCAAATACCACGAGCCCTATGGTCTAAAGTGTGGAATATGAACACCCTACCTAAAATTAAACTATTCCTATGGCAACTTTGCCAAAATGCCTTGCCTACAAAGGAAAACTTGTTCAAGCGAAGAATCTTACCTGACCCATTGTGCCCAGTGTGTAAGAAGTGTCCGGAGACAACAGAGCACCTCTTTCTCCTTTGTCCCTGGACAACCAAAGTCTAGTCAGACCACAATTTACAAATCAGAATTGAAGATCAAGGCCTCACAAGCATAGATCGGTGGCTATTAAACTACAAGAGCGCATTACCAGCCTCGCCGTCTCTCGAGCTCGTTTTCGAAGTACTCTGGTTCCTGTGGAAGGCGAGAAACAATGAGATTTTTAGAGGCAAATCACCAGATCCACAAGCGACAGTTAATGAAGCTATAGCCTTACACGAAAATATCAAAAGTTGTAGCGTAAATCGAAAGAAAAAATCAGAACGAGAAGGTATCTCACCTGCAATCTGGACACCGCCGGAGAAAGGAGCTCTTAAGCTTAATGTGGACGCAGCCTTCGTTGCTGGCTCTACACCATGTGCAGTGGCTGGTGTATGCCGAGACTCCTCAGGAAAGCTCATGGGAGGATTTGCTTGTCTGATTCGGGCTCAATCGCCTCTTCAAGCGGAAGCCTTGGCACTGCTTCAAGGTGTGCGCTTTATGAAAGAATGGAGAAGAGAGAACATGGGGAGAGAAGTAACCGTGGAAGTGGAGTCTGACAACTCTACTTTAGTTCAGTCAATTGCGTGTGAAGACCAACCTCCTTGGGATGTGGAAGTATTCATAAAAGAATGTCGGACCTCGCTTTCTTGTAGGCCTTTTTTATGTTTATCCCACTGCTCTAGAACCCAAAATAATGCAACGGATTGGGTCGCTAAAGCTCAACTTCGTGGGACTCTTCCTCAGTGCTGGATTTCCAATCCCCCTCAATCCCTTTTAGATATTTTGTATGCCGAAACCCATTTTGATTGTGCTTTCACTTTATCTACTTAAATGAAATGGAAGGATGCATTTTCGATAAAAAAAAAAAAAACCATTAGGGATAGAGAGATGGGGTTTTAGTGAGCATATTTATAAAAGAATACGCAATATATATTTGTTACATGTCCATGTTTTAATGGAGTTCTTATGCAAAAATGAGTAGATATAGACCTACTCAAATATGAGGCACATGACAAATTTGGCAACCACAAGGGAGAGAGATATGGGTTTTTTTTTTTGGACAAAGGGACATGAGGTTTTAGTGGGCATATATTCTAATATGAAAAAGAATACAGAGTGTACATTTATTACGTGTCGATATTTTAATGGAGTGCTTATGCAAATATGAGTAGATCTAGACCTACTCAAATCCGAGGCACAAGCTTAGACTCGGCAACCACCGAGAGAGAGAGAGAGAGAGAGAGAGAGAGAGAGAGAGAGAGAGAGAGAGAGAGAGAGAGAGAGAGAGGGGGTTTTAATGAGCATATTTGGAAAAGAATACACAGTATACATTTATTACATATCAATATTTTAATGGAGTGCTTATGCAAAGATGAGTAGATATAGACCTGCTCAATTTGAGGCACAAGCCAGACTCGGCAACCACAAGGGAGAGAGACATTGCTTTTTAGTGGGTACATTTTGTAATATGGAAAAGAATATGCAATATACATTTATTGCCTGTCGATGTTTTAATCGAGTGCTTATGCAAACATAGTATAAGCACATTTACTAATTCGTAAATAAGGCAAGAAGTGAACAAATGTCATGTAGGTCAGTCACATTGCAAAAATGTGTGGGTTCCACTAAATGGGGTTTTAGTGGGCATATATTTTTTAAGATGGAAAAGAATACGCAATATACATTTATTATGTGTCGATGTTTTAATGGATTGATTTTGCAAAGATGAGTAGATCTAGACGTGCTCAAATTTGAAGCACAAGCCAAACTCAACAACCACAAGGGAGAGAGACATGGGGTTTTAGTGGGCATATTTCTACTATGGAAAAGAATACGTAGTACACATATATTGCGTGTCGATGTTTTGCTGGAATGCTTATGCAAAGATGAGTAAATCTAAACCTGCTCAAATATGAGGCACAAGCTAGACTTGGCAACCACCAGGAAGAGAGAGATGGGGTTTTACTGAGCATATTTGGAAAAAATACGCAATATAGATTTATTATGTGCTGATGTTTTAATGGAGTGCTTATGCAAATATAAGTAGATGTAGACCTGCTCAAACCTGAGGCACAAGCCAAACTCGACAACTACAAGGGAGAGAGACATAGGGCTTTAGTGGGCATATTTTCTAATATGGAAAAGAATACACAGTATACATTTATTGCCTGTCAATGTTTTAATGAAATGCTTATGCAAAGATGAGTAGATCTAAACTTGCTCAGCTCTTTGCATACATTTGGATTATTTGCAGCTTGGCATATAAATGGATCAAGTTCCTTCGGTGGGATACACTTTAATGAAACTACAGTGCAATTCAAGTAAAACAATAAATGTGGTTGTTGATATAAGACTGAAAATAGGAGGTGGGAATAAGGCGGGGGACGAGCAAGACAACATGTTAATGGACCCGATTGAAGCTATATCGGTGTAGCTACTTGGGTTTCAGCTAGCTCTTCTAGATGGAAAAATTACCAAAAAAATCATAAACCTACAACAATTATGCCAATTGAGTCCTAAACTTTTTTTTTTATCAATTGGGTCCTAATCCTTTTCACATTTTGTCAATTGAGTCCATCTGGCAAATTCAACTAGAAATTGCTGACGTGGACACCGGCCGTCTTACGTTGCAGCTGATGACCCGGCACTGACGCTGATACTTTTTAATAATATTTTAATATTTTTCAAAATATTTATTTATTTATTTATTCTTTTTTTCTTTTCTTTCTCTTTACTTTTGTTTTCCCTTCCAGAGGCGATGGCCGGCGACCAGTCAAAGAAGAGGGCTGGTGAGCCTCTAGCCGGTCGCCAAGGTCCATCGACTAGCTAGAGGAAGAGGGGAAGAAAAAAAGGGGAAAGAGAAAGAAAAAAAAAAGATAAAATTCTACAAAATTAAAATATTATTAAAAATTATCTACGACAATGCCGGCCGCGCCACGTTGAATGGCTGACATCCATGTTCGTGATTTTTAGCCAAAATTGGCCAGATGGACTGAATTGGCATAAAGGCCAAACGTTTATGACTCAATTGATAAAAAAAAAGTTTAGAACTGAATTGGTACAATTGTAATAGGTTCAGAATTTTGTTGGTTAATCTCCCCTATATGTATCCATCTTTAGTAATCTCTCGAGCTCATTTATTACTTTAACCAATCTCAAAAACTAAGTAACGAGGAGCAAATTTAGTATAAGTCAATTACATTTTAAAATATGTGGATTCCATTAACCAACACAAGTCCCAGTATAATTTTTGTGCTGTAATTGATTCTACCTACCACATCACCTACAAGCTAAGTTTATATAACATTTTCTCATATTGAGTGAAATATGAGTAAATCCATGAATAGGTGTAGCTGGGCATTGTAATATATTTTGGGCGAGCCTAGGGAATAAATCTCCTACGCTCAAGCCCACTCACTAGGATCATTTGGAGGAGAAAATTTGATATTGTATAAGTCATGCGTGTTTCAAGGTGAGGACTTTTTAATCTTATACCAAATTCAATCCATCTAAACGCTCATTGATCAAGTCTATGGAATAGGCAAGAAGTAAATCAAAACTCGAATGAATAACTTAAATATGAAATTATCTACATCGATGGTGCCATATACCTAGTCCGTCCACGTCTACATTATCTATATGTTTTCAACTGCTTAGTTAATCTTGTTTTGAGAGTTTTGTATAATAGCCATATCGATGATGCGGCATGGGAAGCCAATTCTCGCTTTTCAACAATAAGATATTGATTGAGTTTTATAGTCTTAACTAGTCAATTTTCCGTATTCTTTAATGATGTTCTACGTAATTTTAATAAACCTCCGCCTCCCATAACGATATTGCTATTCATAAAAGGGACACATGCTATATAGTAAAACAATTAACATGTATTAAAATACATATCGAAGTGTGATAATTTAAAAGTACTCTGATTTTAATTTACATTTGGTTAATTAGTTCTTCAAACTGTGGCCCACCCAATCATGTAGGCCGAAAGGGAAAATGAGTGGGCCTAGCAAGTAATTAGACCTACTCATTGGACGGGCCTTGGATCATGCCGGGCCTGCTCGGGCCCAAACCTTTAGAGGTCCTTCCCGGGCTCGCACTTGAGGGCCTGAGGGAGTACCCAAGCCTGCCCAAGGGAAAAACATTGGGCCGCCTTTTTATTTTTTAAAATTTCAGCTAAAAAAATTTAGGGAAAAAACCACCAAAAACCCTAAACTTTGCCCTCTGTGACACATTTACCCCAAACTTTTTTTTGTGACGCCAAAAACCCCAAACTTTGCTATTTGTGACACATTTACCCCAATATACTGTAGCCTAGGGTATTTTAGTCTTTTTCCCTTTTTCTATTTTTTTTCTTTTTTTCTTTTTTCCGGCAAGGCTGCCCTCGCCGGCGAGGTCTCCGGCGACCTCGCCGGCGCAGGCGAGGGCTGCCCTCGCCTCGCCGGAGTCGGGCGAGGGACCCTCGCCCCGCCCGTGCGAGGTGAAGGCGCGCCTCGCCCGGGCGGGCGAGGGCTGCCCGCCGGCGTCGGGCGAGGGCTTCCTCGCCCGCCCGGCGAGGCGGCCCTCGCTCGGCCCTCGCTCGACGCCGGCGAGGGCGTCGAGCGAGGGCCCCCTCGCGGATCCGGCGAGGGTCGCCCTCGCCTGGGCGAGCGAGGCGCCCTCGCCGACGCCCGCCCTCGCCCGGCGTCGCGAGGGCCCCGCCGCCCGGGCGGGCGACCCTCGCCGACGCCGGCGAGGTCGCCCCCCGGGCGAGGGCGGCCCTCGCCGGCGGTCGCCTCCCTCGCGGGCGGCGACCCTCGCCGGCGCCGGGAGTCGCCCCGGCCGCGAGGGCGGCCCTCGCCGGCGTCGAGCGAGGGCGGCCCTCGCAGATCCGGCGAGGCGACCCTCGCCAGATCCGGCGCGAGGCGACCTCGCCGCGCCGAGCGAAGGTCGCCTCGCCGGATCGGGCGAGGGCCACCTCGCTCGGGCGGGCGAGGAAGCCCTCGCCCGACGCCGGCGGGCAACCTCGCCCCACCCGTGCGAGGCGCCTTCACCTCGCTCGGGCGGGGCGAGGTCCCTCGCCCGACGCCGCGAGGCGAGGGCCGCCGCCCGACGCCGGCGAGGGCGCCTCGCCCGGGCGGGGCGAGGGTCCTCGCCCAACGCCGGCGAGGCGAGGGCCGCCCTCGCCTAACGCCGGCGAGGGCGGCCCTGTCATACGGCGAGGTCTCCGGAGACCTCGCCGGCGAGGCCACTGCTGCGGAAAAAGAAAAAAAAAACAGAAAAAACATAGAAAAAGGGAAAAGACTAAAATATCCTAGGCTACAGTATATTAGGGTAAATGTGTCACAAATAGCAAAGTTTGGGGTTTTTGGTGTCACAAAAAAAAGTTTGGGGTAAATGTGTCACAGAGGACAAAGTTTGGGGTTTTTGGTGGTTTTTTCCCAAAAATTTAAAGAAGTATGAAAATTGGGTTTTATTTTATTTTATTTTACTACTTTACTTATGAGTTTTATACTGCATTAGAAATTTGAGCTCATTTGTCCTATTATTTTTATTAATTTTAAATGTTATAGTAAAATCTACCAATTTTTTAATAAATATATCGGCGCGCTAGGTTGGGCCT